ACCCGGCCCGAAAGACCCACACCAGCCATCGTATGCCGGCCGTGAAAGCCTTCGACAATACACAAAATGCAAACATAGTTTGAATAATTTATTAATTGCGTTCAGATTTGGTAATAACCTTCTTGAGCTGGATTGGCATTATTGTGCTCTTCGTTAGGAGCATAATAAAAATAATTTATGTTTTGTTTCCATCTAATACAGCAAGCTAAAATATTGGGAAGTATCTACTGGTCTAATGAAATTATTCCACATAATCATGTGAACCATGTGCCTTAATTATAGAGAAGAAATCTTACTTCAAATCCAAATAATTTTAAAAAATAATCAGGTTTCATATTAGTTTAAAATCACATTTTGATAATTGATCTCAATGATCTTAAGTTGCTTGAGTGTCATGCAGTTTTTTGTTTTTTTTACTATGGTTATATTGTCAATTTATTAACTGAATCAGAGTTATATTTTTGGCTGGGAAAGAGTCTACAAATAGTATTATTAAAGAATTTAGCATACATAGATAAGATTATTTCACACACAGCTTTCAGAAAATTCTTCAAGAGTGAGGGGAAAAGTTAGGGTATTTGTTTTGGCTTGTCATAAACATGACTTTGTAAATTAGATGTACTCCCCTAAAGTTATTACAGGTAGTCCTCACCTAATGGTCACAACTGGGACCAGAATCTCCATCATTGAGCAAAGCAGTCATTAAGCAAGATGCCCACACGACTGCTTCGCTCAGTGACCAAAATCTGGGCACTCCCATTTGCGGTCATTAAGCAGTCTCCTGGATCATTAGCAGAAGGAGCAAAAGAGCTATCTGCTGAAGGATTTCAGCTCAGAGCAGAGCTGAAATCCTCCTGGCAGGCAGCTCTTTGAGAGCGAAAGGGTTGCCTGCCAGACAGTTTCAGCTCCTTGTGGAGCTGAAATCCTCCCTGCAGACAGCCCTTTCATGCTCAAATGTTTCTAAAGCTGCTGAAGGGTTTGCCTACCCTCCATGGATGGAGGGGAAATCCTTCCTGGGGCTGTAGGAACAGAACTCATATCTTCAGGATTTGAGCTCTGTTCCTGCTCATCATTGAGAGGGGAGGGGAAACCTATCAGTGGTGGGCAGGTATGGAGCTCAAATCCCAAAGATTTGAGCTCCGTTTCTTCACAGTGGTGTGAAGGAACGGAGTTCAAATCTTCAGGATTTGAGCTCCATTCCTTCACACCGCTGAGAGGGGAGGGGAAACCTCTCAGCAGTGGACAGGTACAATACCTGCAAGTTATCATCTTTGTGTCCATTTAATCTTGTTTCGTACAACTCCTGCAAACAAGGTACAGCCATAGTTATTTTTTTTGTCCAAAGGTAAGCAAATACTGGTTTCCAGGCTTAAGATTCCTAGTACCAGTAGCAAACCATAATTATATCAAATGGTTATGTCACTACATAGATGTCACAATTATGTACTTTGTTTCCCGCGCTGTGACAGAAATTTATAAGTCACAGCATTTGTGTGAGAATAACATAATGCACATTTTGTCATTTGTGTCAAGCCAGCTGGTTATTTCGTGCAAACACTTCCAAACTAAATGCTGCCTTCTTTTCCAGAGGTCAAGTGTGATAGACCAACCATCCAAAATGGGAGAGTGACAAATGTGTTTCAAGCTATATATACATATAACAGTGGCATATCGTTTCAATGCAACTCTGGCTACACTTTGGTAGGGGCTGCTTTTGTTAAATGTGATGCTAATAGTAAATGGAATCCTCCTGTTCCCAGCTGTGTTGAGAGTAAGTATTTAATTTTTCTTAAATCTTTATTGAATTTCAGTACTGAACATTAAAATTGCGAATTTTAACATTGGGCATCATGGATTGGTGAAGAAAGCTACATAAACATTTTTCCCTCTCTTTTTGGCTAGGTGTAGCCCCCACCCCTACCAAACCAACCAGACCCCCCACACCTGCTGTTCCTCCTACCCCCCCAATTCCCCCTATGCCTGGCACTGAAGATGAAACTGAAGGTGAGTTATACTGGGATTGGGCTGATAATCACAGCCCTGTTTCAAGTTCAGATTATTTGACCTTGGAGGAAAGATGCTGGTGCCCTGGAGCCACATCTGCGTTTTCTAACCAGTTTCCGTCCTTTTCTTCTTAGGCAGATAACCTACAAAATGGCTTGCAACTATGGGGTTGTGGGTACATGAGGAATATCTTTCATTTCCCTAAACAACAGGTTATCATGTGGTATTTCTTTGCATTTTGAAAGAGGCATGACATGACTTGATGTCTGAGAAACACAAATGTAAATCTCCCTTTTGCCCATGGAACAGAGATGGACCCCTGTGGAACACTGAGTGTAAACCAATTGTCCTGCAGTGCTGTTGAATTCAGTTTGCTATCACCATGGTTATAAATGAATTGTACAATCTTTAAAAGTGAAGTTCATGGTTCATTAATCTTTTTTTCTAGTTTTAGACCATATGAGATTTACAAATATTCATTTTGTGGTATCATTTGTACTAGTGCAGAAAGGCATGAGCCTGGCTAGAAAATTTAAGTATACTCTAAATAGTTCTTATTTAAGCGAGCAAGTTCTTGTTTCTTGGGGTTTGTGAACAGCATTGAAAGTTTTTAGGGAGTATCTGCTAAAATGCTAGGCGTCAAAAAGAAGCCATGAAGAATTTCTGGTGAAGAATCTTTTAATGCCATTCATTTTTTAAAAATCTTTTAATGCCATTCATTTTTTAAAAATCTTTTAATGCCATTCATTTTTTTAAACTATACTTATGTAATGTCCAGAAATAGAATAATTTATGTTGAAGTGAATATATGCATTTTTATACAGTGTGGGTAATAGATATATACTGCAGAAATTGAATAATATTTGTAGGGTTTTTATGGTATTGTACACATACTCTCTGCAGGCATGCCTAGGGCAGGCAGTAAGTGGTCTCACAGATAATCAACCAACTCATATAGAACTTTAACCAGCAGCTTTTATATACTGTATAGACATTTACGAATCCTAAATGTTAACCAGGGGTACTAATGTGTTAATAGCCTCTGTAAACAGTACCTATCTCTCATTATGCAAGGCCAAAACAAAAATAGTCCAAGCTCTAAAAGTTTTTCTCAAACTTTTGGGAATCATGGATATCCATACCCAATTCAACAAATACTCTCTCACTATATTTTTGTCTTTAATAGCATGCATTGAAAACATAGAGTACATGTTTTTGACCCATAAGATAGTGATTATTGTTTCATTTGTGTATGGCTTCTCATCTACCGGGATGAATGACTACAGGTCCAAGAGCCGCCCACGTGCAGGTTTGTGACTACAACTGCCAGTGGTCATCTCCTCCTGTTGCTTCACCACTCCCCCATTGCTGCAGGCCTCAACAAATTAGGTTTAGACTGAGATGATTTGCAGATGTGTTGTAAATGAAGATGAATTGCACAACAGAAACTGTGCGTGATGGAGTTTAAGTGGAATAGCCATTGTACAGGGCACTCCCACTCTCTCAGCATGAGAGTCCTTAATCCAGTGGCACAGAGAACAGTTACAGCTGGAGACCTCTCCTGCTGCCGTGGATGACCAGGACATCTAAGTGCCTTGTCGTGATCCTAGTGCTGCACAATGCCTGCTGCGTCGTCTTGACCGTTGATTGGTCTCGTTCGCTCAGTCTGCCAGGGCCACACTTCACATGCTGGGATAGAGAAATCCACTATCTCACTGAGGGTTGAAGACCCATCACTACCCTCACCTGGTTTGGCCCATCTGCTGAGATGGTTTACTGGGGTGTGGCTGCTGTGTGTGTTTCTGCCTGCCTACACACCACCAATTTAGGCCTTGTGATTATAGGTCTTTCACCATGCTAGTTTTCTCTGACCTTCATTACTGGGCTTACTGATTTGTACTCTCCTTTGGGTACTTTGCAGTGTTGAAACTATTAAGAGGGAGATTAATAGAAAGTGAAGAAGTTAAAGTGCTCTGGGACTTCACAATTCAAACAAACAACCACCTGCCACATAATACCCCAGACTTAACAATTGTTGATAAGAAAGACGAAAAAAGTCTGGATAGAAAAGTCACTTTCTATTAATCTCCCTCTTAAACACATCTCGCATAAAGTGACTCTGGGAGGCATACAACAATTAAATACCTGGAGACAGAATAGAAGAAAAAGAACTGGAGAAAATGACACAACATAAAGACCTGCCAATAGAAGTAGAACAACTATGGCAAAAGAAAGCAAAGACAGTACCAATAGTTATAGGTGCCTTGGGCGCAATCCCAAAACATCTGGAACACCACTTGAAGACCATCGGCATTGACAAAATCACCATCAATCAATTGCAAAAGTCAACTTTACTTGGAACAGCTCATATCCTGCGACAATACCTTTAACACCATCAAACAACATCTGCCAATCCCAGTTCCTTGGGAAGGATTCAATAGGTGGATAAAAATGCTAAATCTAGTCTAAACATCTGGCTGACTGTGCAACCAACCATAATAATCTGTTGAGTTCCCACTGCAAAGCAACATGTTCCTATGGATGTATTCCCTGCCTTTTCTTCAATCAGTTGACACTAAAGGAGAGTTTGCTCCATTTTCCCATGCCTCGAAAGTACTTCTTTATGCATGGGCAAATACCCTTCTATTTGTATGTTTAAAGAGTCTGTTTCCCACCTAACCGAGGTATTTGGGTCTTTCCCCCCAGTTTTCTGAAATGAAGGACGTCATTGCGGTCATTAACCAGCACAACCAATTATTATCTAAATGGATATCAACAGCTGTCAAGCGGCAGTGCCCTCTTGGGATCTGCAGTCACTCTAGGGAAGTTATGGCAACCGTTGCAGCTCCTCTTTATGGAATTTGTCTATTAGAGCTCTGCTATTTTTGAAGTTTTGAGCCTAGGATCACAGCTTTCAAGCCTTGTGTAGCTCCTCCCGACACTCTTTCTGTTATCCCACAAAGTGCATCTGGAGTCTGTGCAAACAAAATAATCTTCCTTGGGGGAAGATATAAGGGGGAAAATAAGTGTCTTAAACCTCTCAAGAAAAAAATCTCAGGTTGAAAATTGTGGTTCTACGCATCTTTGAAATTATGACATAACACGGACGTATTTCCTGGAGCCCTCCATGGCAAAACATTTTTGAACTACTCAAACCTGCTCTAAAACTATGCAAAGAATGAGCTGAACATCTTCAGTAACACCAACCTTTGCTGTCTTAATTCAGAGCGGAGGTAGCTGGCCTTCATGGTTTCATTTTTACTGGGCATGTTTTATCATTGCTAGGGATTTTTAGAGTTCATTCATTTCTGGAGTTTTCCATAAGGCTTAATTTAGAGGGCATTGCTTGCTTTTCTTCCATGTTCTGTACATTCTCAGCCTTTTTTTCCCTATTGATCTTCCTTCTGCCCTTTTGGTTCCTTTGAGGAGGAAGGAGGAAATTCCATCAGGCACCTTAAAGGAGGAAATTCCCTCAGGCGCTTTCTGTCATCAACCAGCCCAAATCCTGACTCAGTAGAATTATTCTTAATTGTTCCTGTTGTGGGGAAAAAAGCCAGTTCCTAGCAGCACACTCCACCTACTCACCTTAGTTCTGTTTACTGCTGGTAATTCCTTTAAGGTCAGATGCTGCAAGGAAGGATGCAGAGCTCTGTGTAGCCTGTGAGACACCAAGAATCCATTTCTTTCCTAAGATAAAATAAGAGTTGGGGAAAAAGATTGTCAGGGCTGTCAGAATGTATGAGTTGTGTTAAAGAGTTTAATAAATTGACCAGAGGACACTGTTCTGACAAGCCCCCCATGCTTGCCAGAATGGCAAGACTTCTCCATGGTAACCTTGGCTCTAAAATGCCACTACAATGATGTGTACCTGGTGCCAATGTTACCAGGCAAAAAACCTTGTTCAGGTGTTTTAATATATTTGTGAAGGTCTTGTTCTCTTTTTGGCTGAAATGGATTTTGGTCATCTTTGTTCCTTCTGCTTTAATTGTTTATGCTTTGTATACATTTTAACCTTTTTTGTTTGTTTAAACAGCTAATGGGCATTGTATCAATAGGGGAACATCTTCAAATAATAATAGCAGTAATAATAATTTATTAAACTTGTATGCCACCCAACTCTCAACGACTCTGGGGGACTCACAACAATCAAAGAAAATTATGGGAGAAACAAAGGAGTCTTTTTTCCCCTCTGACATGAAATGTAAAAAGAACTTCTTTTCAGTTAAATGCTTTATTTATTTGGTTTCCCACTACTTGCTTCCTTCATTAGATTGCTGTTATAATTTATGGAGGTTTCCTCTGGGTTTGTTGAGGTATCCGTGTAACCTGTATAGTATCATTTGTGTAACATATACATTGAGACATCTCTTTATTCAGACAAGTCTTTTGTTTTAAATGTTCTGTATGACATTGCCTAAAAAGTTCAGAGTGTTTTAAAATCTCTTTTTTTCTTATAGAAATTCCAGTGTCCCCAACCCCAAGTGAAACAACTCCCTCAGGTGAATACGGTAAACCCAAAAAGTGGTGATGGTGGAAAGTAATTGTTTAGGCTAGCTTTTGCATTTCTAAAAGTTGGTCAGTTTTGCTTTTTTTAATTCTGAAATAGTTTTAAGATTATGACAGCATATGCTCTGAAACTTGAGAAGTAAAAGACAGGGAGGGAACATTATAGATAATTCAGGAATCCTTTTCAAAATCTTTCTGGTCAACTTCATAGAAATGTATTTCAAAATTTGTTGTAAGTTGCAGTCTTATATCTCAGAATAGACGTGTAATATTGTAGCTTAAAATACGTTCTGAAATATATTTGGAATTATCTGTTAAAAATAATTTACAAAAGAAAAATAGATATTTATTTGCAAAACTAAAAAAAATGGGAAAGATGTTGCAGTTCTAAATGAAGGTGATTGAATCTAGTAGAGTAGAATTGGTGAATGAAGGTATAGATTTAATTTAAAAAATGAATATATATTGGAAAATATGAATTGATTTCATCTAAATTGTTGCAGATGGTTGTGAAATAGAAATACATTGCAGATAGTGGGATATTACTCTCCAGCGAATGCTAACATGGGCAAAGCAAGGTTATAGAGAGAAGGAATCAGGATCAAAATGCAAAGAAAATATATGAAGGAAGAACAAATGGGTTGAAAAGAAAAGTAAAATCAAGAAATTACAGAAATTGAGAGCTCCTTAAAAATAGAGAATTGAGAACAAAAGAATATTGAAAGGGAAGTCTTACGCTATAATGGAAGCAAGGGTGGTTTGCAGCGACAGAAAGATACGGGGAATAGTGAATAGTATTGGCCTAAATTAGATATAGTCATGTTAAGCTATGTCTCATATTTCATGTCTTTGATTTCTTTTGCTTAATAATTCCAATTTTTTATTTTTTATTTTGTGTGTGTGTGCTTTGCATAATTTTATTTACCTGAAAAGGGAAAAACAGGATGGATATGCATGTAGGTTAAAGTAGTGTGAAACCCATTTAGTGGTTCCAACTAGAGAAATGCTCTCTTTCACTAATATATATAGCTTCAGGTTGTAGCTCACTTTTCTTCTTCTGATCCTTTTCTCTTCTAGGATCTGGCAAAACTGTTGCAATTGTTTTTGGTAAGTACTTACGGACTGAACTACTGTTATTGTATTTAATACTTGATAGAAATGAACACAGAATATTTAACACATCATTCCTTCCTTTTTGCCTTTAGAATGGGCTGTGCCTCCCCCCCCACGCCCACTTCCTTTTAAGGCAGGATCTTTTTCTCCCCTCACAATTTTTCCCATACTGTAGATGTTCTTTTGGCTATTTTTAAAGATTTTATTCCCAGGGTATATTTGTTTCTAGGTCAAACCCAGGGGAGAATATTTCAACTTGAGAAATTATCTTGGTTACACATTGTTTTGTTTTGTTTTTAATTTTTATTATGTCAGGGTTATTTTTACAGCTGGAGTCTCTTATAGACAGGAAAAAAAAGCCTGAATGTTCCAGAAATCAATCAGTTCCATGAGGAAAACTGTATTTGTTTCTCCCCCCCCCCAAAAAGAGAACAAGTCCAGCTCTATGTTAAGCTTATTCTTCAAAGTATAAGTATCTGTTTTCAGACTGAATAATATTATAAGTTATTTGTTTGTGTATGCGACATATCTGCCACCTCAATCTTCATAGATTCTACATGATTTGCAAATATTAAAATAGCAAGAAAATATACATTTTAAAAGTTCCATAATGAAAGTATAGCAAATATTGTCAAATAATAAGAAAAGTATACCCTATATATATATTCACACATGTATATATGTGTGTGTGTGTGTGTGTGTGTGTGTACACACACACATATATATACAGGTGTCTATAATTGATCCCCAAAGTCCTGGAAAAATCAGTTTTTATTAGTTCTGGAAGGCCATTGCGGTGCAGGCCATCCTTGACTGGGGGCAAGCTAACCCTAGGTGAACTGCCACCGAGAATGCCCCTTATCCATACCCCTTCCACTGCAACTCCTATTAGGTAGGGACCCTTCATGGGAGGTATCTCGCTATCCAAGAGGGATGGGCAGGAACAATATGGGAAAAGTGATCCCTTAGATACCCAGGCCCCAAGCCATACAAGGCTTTAAAAGCAACCAGCACCTTGAATTGCAGTAGGAAACACTTTGGTAACCAGCACAGAATTATGGTAATTGGGAAAGACAAGGGCATAAGTAATTGTCCTCAGAGCATCCTATTCCAGGTAAAATTGCAACTGGCAAACCAGTCAAAGTTGGGCACAACACCTCCTGACCATAGCTTCTATCTGTTCCTCAAGCAGGAGCTGTGTGACTCTAGAAGATCTAAAGTTGCAAATCTGTTCTCTCTAGGGGAGTACAACTTCATTAAGAGTCAAAGAATCTGGGAATCATAAGGCTTTTAAATTAATAATAATTTAGTTTAAGTCTCAGCCTGTTTCTCCCCAACTAAACCCTGACAGCCTCCAGGCATTGGGACAGGACTTCTATCACATCTCTTCCTGGGCCAACTGGGTATCATCAACATATTAAGGATACTTCATCCCACCTTGGCAGATGAACCCTCCCCAGTAGGGTTCATGTAGATGTTTAATAGATTAGGGGAAAAGACCAGGCCCTGGGGCGCTCTATAATAGAATATCTGGGCACCTGACCTCTCTAGCCTACCACCATTAGCTAAAACCATCTACTCAGGTAGGTATGGACCTACTGTAACAAAGTGTCCCCAGCTCCCAACCCTTGCAGGTGTCTCAGAAAACTGTTGAGAGGTCTAGGATGGCAAGGGTGATTGTACACCCTCCCACCACGGGTCATCCATGAGAATGACTAATGCAATTTCTGTCCCATGTCTAAGACTAAAGCTATATTACCATGCAGTCGCTCTCCTCTCTCTTAATTATCGAGCCTACCAGTTACCATCTGGTTCTGACACAGCTGTGGTCAGAGGGAGCCAGGGTCGCTTCCTCATTATTCTCTCATTCCAGATATTCCAACAAATCTTTAGCTCTATTCCAGACTTTCTCCAAGCTGTTAGGTGAGAAGTTCTCACTAATTTTTCCTCTCTGCAGTTCTCACCAATATTAACAGTATTGTAGTAACTCTGGGCATTAAATAAGAGGAAAACAACTGTAACTGGCAGAGACTCCCACACAAACAGCCTCCAGTAATCACTTACTGTTTTTGGTGATAGGTTAGTGTGAGCGTTTCCTGGCTCTGTTATAAATGTAGCATATACCTATTATTGAATTAAATTGGACATCAGGGAAGGTGATCAAGTACTGAAGGTACAGTCCTTGATGCTACGTTTATTTATCTATAATTTGGTTTTATTCTTGTGCAGGGTGATGGTTTGCCACTCATCAATACCTTTGTTATATTTGACATTTTTTCTATGAAGATTCTATGAATCTTGAAGCGGTGCTTCAGATTCAGTTCAGAATGTGTACAAGCATAAAAGCAGCTATGTACGACTCACTAAAGCAGCTGTGTCTGATTCCAGGTGTGCTTAGCAGAATCTGAAGCTTCCCTCCTGCAGTCCCATGATCCTGGATAAAAGATGTAGCACTTTAATTAGTCTCAGATGGGTGCTGAAATTACGCTTTTGTGCATTCTGAAGCATCTTTTTAAAACAGTTCAGATCCCTGTTTTCTGCAGTTGGATGCTTTTGTGTATATATAGAGAGAGTATACTAAATGTCAGGCCCCATAGGCCAATCAGAATATGTCTTATTTATTTTCAGAGAAAAAGTTACTAAATGTTCAAAGGTCATGCAGCAAACAAGGAAGTGTTGAGGAAAAAAATGGCAACCAATTCAGACATTTAATGTAATTTGTATAATAAGTTGTCTGTGGGGCTTGACTTTTGGTACCCCCGTATATACAATGGGGTGTGGGCGAGGTTGTCTGAAACACGCTTTGAAAGTACTGTTGGAAGTCTGTATTTGATGATTGGAATATTTTTGAACATGGAAACTATCATTTTATCTTATCTTTTTCCCTTCAAGGAGCTGTCCTTGCTGTTATAGTTCTGGGTGCTTTAATTTTTGCAGTTGTGAAATGGGTCTTTCCCAAGGGGTGAGTCAGCCAAGATATGCTGTCTCTGATTCTTTCTAGCTTCTTTGTAGCTGCATGAGCAGCCATCTCTCAACTTCCCTGTGCTGTCTTTAAAGCCTACAGTTTCCATGTATATGTGCTTTGTGTCCAGAAGTAACACCTGTGCTGTGTGCTTGAACAACTACAAAGATCTGCAGCAAAGGAGGAAGAAGAACAAAACATTATAGTTTGTCTAGAATGGCTAATTTGAATTTTATCAAATCCCCAGCTTTGGCGTTCTGGAGTGACAGAAATTATCTGTCCCTATGTCTATTTGCTGTTTGTTCAGCTGCGGGCTTGGCAATGTGTTGTTGAAAAAAGTAAGATTATTAATATTGCCCTCATCTGCTGAAGTCAGAGACACTTGTAATTTGTGTCTCTGACTTCCTGGTACCCTACTGAAATGGAATCATTGGAATGGTTCTCTGTGAAGTTTGTAATGTCCTTCTGGAGCAGCTTTTAGTCTGCTTGCAACTACAGTATCTTTCTAGACAGATTACAATGGAAATCTGGTCTTATATAACTTTCTTGCTTGCTTGCCTTCTGTCTCTGCAGGAATATTCTTTTTGATACAGCATTATATTAACTTTATTTTCATTTTCATATACAGTTATAGGATGTTATAAGCACTAATTTAGATTTGTTCATAAATTGATTTTCAAATCAGTTTTCTTAACTACAGGTACTTTGAGGAGTAATGGCTTTAACCAATATAATTACATGTGCTTACCTTTACTTTTAAAGAGCATATAGATGTAATTTTTGATAAGGAATTGATTAATATTCTTGGGAGTCTTATTAGACTAAAACATGTACAATCTGGAAAGCTGTAATGTGATATTTTGCAAAAAAAATTACTGTGGACTCTAACAATTGGATTAAGTTAGGAGCTGTACTTGGTCTTTGAACTTTTCAGCCATTTATGCAAGATTGTCTCCAGTTTTAGAGCTTGACACTGTTAAGTACTGGATCTTTCCTTCTTGAATCCATTTAATTTTTCTAATTTCTAATTGAATATTGAATACATTATCTCCCCTTTAAATGTCTTTCAAACCACAACATTGCCAATCCTTTCAGTGCTGTTTACATCCTTGTTTTGCTAGAAGACTATTCTATAAATAAACTGTCTTCTGTTTTCAGGTTTTCTATTAGCATCATCCAATTTGCTTGTGGAAATTAATTATATTTGGGGGGGGGAGGAGTCCTCATACATGAAGATGTGTGAACAATGACTAATTTAAGCATGTGCCCTGGAGAAGTTTTGAGAATGCCTGTTTTGTTTCCTCCATTGATTCGATTTTGCCCTCTTTGCCTTCTTCTTCACTTCTTTATAAAATTAACTAATTCAAATTGTACAGTTTGATTCCTGATCAAATGTTTTTAATAACTTGAAACCAAAAATACCCTTTTGCATAATGTACATTTTGTAACAGCTCTTATTCCAGAGACCTGTAGCATGCTCCAGTTTGGGCACCTCAGACTTCATTTAGGAATTATCACTCTTGCTCTAATTAACTATAACCACATTAAAAATATTGAAATGTTGTTTATTTTTAGATTTGCAATTGCTTTAGCTCCAGGATAACATCAAAGAATCATTCTTCAGTTAATTAATATCATCCACTTAGGGCTGGAAACTTGTATAACTTATTTATTGCTCATAATAAATAGCAGGAACAATCGAATATTCATTGGCTGGATCCAATGAGACTAAACATGAGGGAATGCACTGTCCTCTCAAAACAGAATGTTCAAAATTTCTATTAGTCCTGGTCCCATGTTATTATAGGATCATCTGGCTATGACAGAGGCCCATTTAATCTGACATAAAATCAGTTTTATTTAACCTCCAAAAATATGCCACCTGTACTTCTTATCACAGGCCAAGTGAGACTTTTGTCTAGGAAAATACATACATACATACATACATACATACATACATACATACATACATACATATATATAGTTAAACATCAGAGGAAACAGTATGAAGTTCTTTATCAGCAGAGCCAGAAGCACAAGGACCATAAAATTCAAGATCTTATTAAAAACACACAAATACATAACAAATAAATGCATTATCAATGAGGATAGGAAATTCCTCTTGTAATTTCTAAGATTCTGTATTTACCTCAGGCTAGCATTAAAGATAAGCTTACTGAAATCTGTCTCTCTTTTTTAGATAGTTTTTTTTAATGAGTTACTAAACACATACCAGGGAACATACTTCAAAAATCCAAATATATCCTGTAACTAATAAGCTTATGGATCTACACATATAATCGTATGGTATTCTCAGTGTTGAATAAGTAGCTCACATCACTATTAAGAGTAGTTTTTGCCTGAGTTGCAATGCAGGACAGCGGTAGAAAGGTAAATATGTGTTCTAAGAGATGTGTCATAATTCCAAACTGTCATTCTTGGAATTGCATAAGTAAAACATTTTACTGGTCAGTTTACCAGCTTAATTGTTTTCATAATTCTGAACATGGAACATGGATTTTATTGCCTGCTGGATTGTTATGACATCCTTTTTCTTTCCAATCCAGCAGTCCAATGTGATGAAAATTTGAGATTGAAAATGCACTGGACCCTAATGGGAAAGGCAATTGGCCAGTAGTTCAGAAGGCTGCTGTTTGCTCCATTATTAAGCCCCTTTTCTCCTGGCCACATGACCTAGGGCAGAATTGCTATTAACGGATTGGAAAAAATTCTAGAAGCCATGCTCTCATATTAAGCTTGTCTTTAATAGTGCACCAGAATGTAAATCAACTCAGGCACAAACTCCACCATAATGGGATTATCTCTTTTGTTGCCCAGATTCTGGTTTGCAGATAATGTAGCCTGCATCCAATATATATTTTATATTAAATGGAAAGATTTATGGAAAGATTTATTCTTGACAAAAATGCATATATCCAGGGTAGTACTGTATCTGTGGTTCCTTGAATTCCTAAAATTGTCATGAGGGAACATAATTATCTTTATATATTTTTCACCTTTCTGATATTCAGCTTTTAGTTCAAATGTGTGGTTCTGCCATGGATAATAAGAGTGAGAACATTTAAATACTTTTGTCAATATCAAGACATAAGAACCTAAACTTTTGTATGAACATTTGTATTTCAGAATCTGCTAACATCTCAAGTATTCCTTTTCTTACACATAAAAAATGTAAAAACATTTTACAGCAGTCCCTTGCTGCAAATGTATATATAAGTGTTGGGTATATGCACTATAGTTATATACTTCTTCACATCTCCTCACCAGCAATCATCACCCAGAAAAGCAGAGATTAACACCTAGATTATCACCAGACATACCCTAGTCAAGGAACTACGTGGGGGGGGGGACCCATCAACACAGGCAGGGCAAACCACTGCATATAAACAGAGAGCCCCACTCCATTCTAGCACTGAAGATGTTACTTAGCCGGCTAATGAAACGTTTGCAAGAAAACAACCAAGCTCAGAGAACCCCAAGGACTCAACACTTCTTCACAGCTACCCTGAAGACATGTATTGCATAAGTATTAATATGCCAAGGGTTCTCTAAGTATTATACCTCCCAACCTTCTCATCACTGCCATAAATCTGAGCTTCAGTGTTATCATGTAGACAAACCTTAATTTTGTCTGAAGACCTTGACTTGTGAGATTTCAGCATTGACGCCATACAGCTTCCCCAGGTGTACAAAAGAGATGGTGATTTGTGATTAAAGAGCAATTGTCTAAAAACATATCGATTATACTATTTTTTCTGTACTAGATCTATTGTGGTGCTTATAAAACAATTCATTTTATGTCAAATATACTGCCACTATTAATCTAAAATACTTTGGTTTCCAGAGTTGGATTTTCCTAAGATGCATTTTCTTTTATCTTACAGAATGAAATATATGTGCATTTTGTTTTTTGCTTATTTCCTAACAAGAGTAAAAAAAATAATTTTTGGAAACTTCTTTAAATTGCATGTGTAAATATGAATTTAATTTTTGTGTTGTCTTTTACAGGAAAGCTAACACTCATCCTGCCTCTCCTGATGCTTATCGAGTAGTTTCAGATAGAGATATGCCTTTGGAAGAAAAACAACCAAAAGACTGATCTGAGTCCATCGAACTTCTGCAATAAAACTTCAGTAATCTTTCAACCATTTCCCACTTAAGAACTGAAAATGGGAACTTGGTGAAGATTTGAGTCAAAAGCTTTAGTTATACTCATAGTTCTACAGTGTGGCCATTGGATGAAGCTCTTGGCGCATGAAGCAATCATCATTTGATCTAAAAAAATACTCCTTTTGCAGATGCTGCTTCTAATTCTAGTAATTTGCATTTAAATCCTTTCAGAGTATCTCAGCGTGTCTGCTTCTATATCCCTCAGATGCAGAATCTGAGGGGAGCCGCCATGTCTCTACTTCAGGGATGATGCATTATCTTGTTACCAAGATATGACTATTCTTGAATGGAAGATTCGGCAAGTTTCTGTATAGTTCTCTTAACAGCCTGGCTCTTAAATCTGCTGCTGAGTTCAGCAGCATGGCACCAAAAGAAAAGTTACCTTGCTTCCTGAGTTTTAGATTTATGTTAAAACAGTGAGCTGTGCCTGATCAAAATTGCATTCTGTTTTATATTTTAACAGTCAACATAAATTTTGCAAACTTAAGGAAATAAATTAAGGGACACTTTTGAGACACGTGTCTTAGTGAGGAAGACTCAGTTTATGTCATTGTAATCACTGTGATGAGAAAGTGTTGTGTTTTGACTGAATGGAGCCCAGCCTGTAATATTCAGCCTATGTGTTGGGGGGGGAGGGAGGGAGTAATGAAACCTGTGTTGCAATGCCCTGTGTGACATTGCAACACACATTCTGTCATTTTGGCATCAGCCTGGCTAGCTGTGGATGCCTGTGGTATTCAAGGAATAGTTTGTTTGCAAAAGTTTTATTTGTAAACCTTATTGTATTCCTTCTTATGTGGGAAAAATGAATTAAATGTGATGTCTGTATATAAAGAAATGTCTGACAATGGTAATATTAAAGGTTGAATTGAACAGAACACTTCACTAGTCATAGTTCTACTTAAATCTTTGAGGAGCTGATGGTAGGGTAACCCTTAATGCTATCTGTATAAATATTTACTAGTTATACACTGATGCACAGTGCAGTAAAAAATAAACCTTTGTGAGCAGAACTGAAGTCTTACTACAACAAAATAGTTTTTGCTGATGAGTACCCTTGGTTTTAATATGAATGTACTAGAATTGTGTATTTTGAATGGAAGGAAAAAGCAGTTTATTTTTCTTATCACTTTAGATTGATTTAGTTCAAAAAACACAATAAAGATTGTTCCAAAGATTGCATTTCTTAAAACAAAGGCTGTTTTTTTGAGGGAAGATCATAGGATTTTCACTGTTTAAAAATATGCACAGCTACTAAAAGGCAGTTGAAAGATGACTGACCATCTCCCTATTACCAGAAAGAGACAGTTTGGTGTAGTGGTTAAGAAACCAGGAGACGGTGAGTTCTAGTCCTGCCTTAGGCACGAAAGCCAGCTGGGTGACTTTGGGCCAGTCCCCTTCTCTCAGCTCAGCCCACCTCCCAGGGTTGTTATGGGGCAAATAGGAGGCAGGAGGATTAAGTATGTTTGCCACTTTGAGTTTTTTTTAGAGAAAAAAATGGGTATATAAACGGGGAGGGG